CTAACTCCAGTGCCTGCTGTCTTTCTTTTTCTTTCTCCTCCATCTCTTTTTGTTTCTCCTCCATAGCTCTTTTGTGTGCAGCCTCAGCCCTGGCCATCTGTCTGTCATGTTCCTTTTTGTTCTCCTCAGCCTGGAATACCACCTGCGTAGCCATTCGTTGACTTCCACGATTCGACGGTCTCTACCCAGGCCTTTTTCTTGCACAGGGAGGATGGACGAGAACACCACTTGCGCCTCAAACTCCTTTATCCTTTTTCCCAGAGCCACGTAGTCTGCAGTGATCCGCTCAAGGTCATTCTTGGCAGTATCATTGGTGCCCATGTGGAGAAGCAGGAAGGGGTAGCGATCCGAGGGCTTGATGAGTCTCGGCGGCCTCTCCGTCACATCGTGTATCCTAGCTCCTGGCAAGCAGCAGACCTCTCGGTTTTCCCGGTCGGGGCGGCAGATAGGTGACTCAGTCCCCCTGAGGAGGGAGTCCCCGACCACCACCACCCTCCTCCTCCTCTTGGGAGTGGTGGTCGTGGAACCCCCACCCCTAGGACAGTGCATCTTTTGCCTTCCAATCGGTGGAGTCTCCTTCTGCTCCCTTCCCTCAGATGGGTCATCTAGTCCACTCTCCGCATTAGTACCTGTGGAGAGAACATGGAAACGATTGCTCACCTGTATCTCCATTGCTGGTGCATGGACACTCTTCTTTCTCCTTCTGGAGGTCACATGCTGCCAAACCTCTTCACAATCCTTCTGTCCCTGCTGCGCCTGCTCTGAATCTTCAGAACATTGTGGCCGTAGAAGCATCTCCTGACGTCTGTCCAGGAAATCTTCATTTTCCCTTATGCAACGCAGTGTTGATACTCGTTTCTCCAGCCCTCGAACCTTCTCTTCCAATATGGAGACCAGCTTGCACTTTGTACAGACAAAGTCGCTTCTGTCCTGTGGAAGAAAGACAAACATGGCACAACCTGTGCAGGTTACAACAGCTGATCACTCACCTTCCATATCCCTGTCCTCTTAAGAGCTTCCTCAACTGTTGCAGGAACTACTCAGAGAAACCTGCAGATGAAAGCCTCAGTGAGCTCTCCCCGGGCGAACTCCCTCTGTTAGCCTCTGCTGTTCGCCGCTCAGCTGGTTCGCTGCTGACTGCCCTTATATACCAGTCAGGCCCACTCAAGGCCCACCTGGAACAAAGCACTCCCAATTCACACTTTTCAAACAAACAAGCAAGCAATCAAGCACACGGTCAAACTGACCAACAGAAGAGAGAGGTGAGATTCAAATGGTTTATACGAAGGGGTTCTGCAAGAAGACAGACCCCAGGGGAGTGATCATGAGCAGAGAAAGGAAGAAAGACAAATTTTAAGAATATATAATGATCATGAATAGATAGAGAGAGACAGGCAGAGAGAAAAAGAAAGAGAAAATGTGGAAGAAAAAACAAAAGGAAATAAAAGGAAAATCAAGTGACACATGGTAAGTCATTATTACTTATTATGTCCAAAAAGCTACATCAGAAGAACAATAAGGTTGCAAAATCAAGCATTCAAAAGATAGGAAATTCTAGTATTAAGACTGCCTGTGCAATCTTAATTTGCACCCCCGCCCCACAGTGCATGTGTAGATAATTTTCACATTTGACTACTGATTTTGGATACCTCCAATTTTTAATGCCGAAGGCACTCAGCACTTTCAGAAAATCAGATCCCTGCAAGATGTCTCAAGCTGGCACTCAAAAATTGGAATATTTTTAATATTTAGGCCAATATATTTTTTTAAAATTCTCACTTCTCTCCCAAGCAGACATTGGACAAATTTAATATTCACTAGGGAAATAGGGTTGCCACCTTTTTAATTACTGGTAACTGGACCCTGAGGCCCTACTCCTGTCCCGCCTCTTCTCCCCTAGGCCCCACCCCTGCTCCACCTCTTCCCCCCCAAGGCCTTGCCCCTGTCACTCGGTCCTCTGCTTCCATCCCCCTGTCGCTTGCTGGATCATCTACACCTTCTTCCCTCCAAGCTGAGTTCCCTCTTCTCCAGAGATGGGATGGGAGCTGCTGTCGCCTGATAAGCAGCCTGAGCAGGGGTTGGATTGGGTTAATGTCCCGGGGACTCCCGCTGCCCCGTGGTAACCAGGTTTTTGATGTCGAGTCAGGACATCTGACCGGACACTACCAGGTCCCCTTTTCAACCAGACTTTCTGGTAAAAAAATGGGCATCTGGCAACCCTAAATGGCACCCAGACACAGAAGCCAAAAAACGGACTGTCTGTGTAAAACCTGGACAGGTGGCAATCCAATAGAGAAAAGGTCAGATATACAGACAATTGTGAGAATCTGCTATACAGAAACAACATCCTTTCATCATCATTCTAAATTAATCATATGGCCCCCATTTTATTGCATACTTACCAATCTCTGATGCATTTATTCTCACACCACTCCTGTAAGGTTGGGAAGTACTGTTATCCCCATATCCCAGGCTAGTGTACTAACTACTAGAACATCCTTCCGGTGTATGACATTTATTTCACCTTTGTTTCAATTTAACAAAGCAATTAAGCATTTCCTTGTCTTTCAGCATGTGTGTTATCCTGTCCCTACTCAGCAGAACAGCTAAATGCATGCCTTACTGTAAGCATGCGAGTAGTTTCATTTTTCCTTCGATGGGAATACTCATGTGCTTAAAGTTAAGTGTTTTGCTGAATAAGGGCTTTCCTTCTCAACACTAATGTTTGGAACCTGGTGGAACATAAACTGTTTAAAACAAATTCACTATTCCCAGGAAATAGCAGTAATGCATCTTTCAGAGTAGCAGCCGTGTTAGTCTGTATCTGCAAAAAGAACAAGAGTACTTGTGGCACCTTAGAGACAAACACATTTATTTGAGCATAAGCTTTTGTGGGATACAGCCCACTTCATCGGATGCATAGAATGGAACATATAGCAAGGAGATATATATACACATACAGAGCTTCAAAAACAGACTCCAAGGAGAAACTGCTGAACTTGAATTAATATGCAAACTAGATACCATCAGTTTAGGCTTGAATAGAGACTGAGAATGGCTGAGCCATTACACACATTGAATCTATTTCTCCATGTTAAGTATCCTCACACCTTCCTGTCATTATCACTACAAAAGTTTTTTTTTCTCCTGCTGATAATTGCTCATCTTAATTAATTAGCCTCTTAGAGTTGGTAGGGCATCTCCCACCTTTTCATGGTCTCTGTATGTGTATATATATCTCCTGTTCTTTGAGTAATGTATCTGTTGCCTGCCCCAGATCGGGCCTCGAGATGGCAAACAGGGGTTCGTCGCCCGGTGTGCTTGGCACCAATAAAGACACCGAGGGGAGAAAGCAAGCCAAGTTTATTTCAGAGCTCTGAAATGGCACTAGGAGACCAGCATGTCTCAAATCCAGTGCAACAAATACAAATAACTTTTACCTTATATACTTCAAGCTGTTTCTGTGTAAGCCTTTGTTCTGTTACTCCCTTTTACCCCTCCCACCCCTCCCTTCTCTAGCAGTTACAGTTAGAAAAATTCCCATTCGTCTGCTTATCTTTTGGCCTTGCAAGGCCTGTTTACAGCAGTCTGAGCAAAACAGCAGCTGTATGCTAGAGAAAAGCTGACCCTTACATTTCTGCTTCAACATGTAAGCAGTTAGCACAGAAGTAGGTGAGAGTTCACAAGATGGAGTCACTGTGGTTCACAGACCCAGAGCAGAAGAGCTTCATCGGCTCTTTTGGCCTTCTACTCCCCTGAGTTACCTGGTAGCTATGCCTAGTGACACCAACATATCTGTTATGTATTTGTACTTGGAAGTGTCTAATTTTAATTTCAGAAATAAATCAGGGCCTGCTATCACACAAAAATGATGAACTTTGTATATGTTTTAGCTAAAATTTGAATTTTTATTTGAAAAGCAGGATCCAATAACCTATTATTATCTATACCTGGATTATTGCTCTGATGGCCTTTGCACCCTACATATATCTTTTGTTGTTGGTGAAATTTGTACCTTAATTTCCTGTATTAAGGCATGCTGATCACAATTCAGAGTTAAGTCTGAGTCAGACATTTTCAGTTTATCAGGAGTTTTAAACCTGTGTTTTGTAAAAATCTAATTGAAATGGCAAAGAAACAACAATCCAAATTTAAACTTTGAGCAGAACTATTTGCATTTTTTGGTGGTTTGATGAAAAATGAATTGATGCAGAGCGAATAATAAAGAGTTCAAAAATTACCCATTTAGCAATTTGTCATCAGTGTATCTCACTTTTCTTTAACTATCAAGCTAGCACAAGCAAAAATAGCAGTGTAGCTGTACAAGTAGCAGCAGTGGAGGCATGGTTCAGCCATGCCAAGTACAAAGTTGCCTGAAAGTGTCTCTATTCAGTCCATGATTTTCAGTGTCTAGAAAATTTACGTGCACTAAATGCCTCAATACATGTAGGTGAAACAAGACAATCATGACACTCTTGAATGAACTCACACAGGAAAATGATAAAAGGCAAAAAAAGCCCTGTGTCTGACCTATCAGGCCTCATTCTCAAAGGAAACCTGCACAACACTTTCAAAAGACAATCCTGGGAGCTTAAATTCATAACTTTACTAGGGCTTATTACAACAATTTATAACCACTAACAAACACACATGCTCAAGCTGCCTTTTCCACCACTCCCTTCCTTTCCCCCTATGACAGGAGGGGTGTTAATGGGTCATTTAACCTTGAATGGTACCTTGAAATATGTGTTAACTACTTATGATAAACAATCTGTTCCACCTTGTATTTAGCTGTGACATTCTGACTACATTTCCCAGACCTGAAGAAGTGCTCTGTGTAAACTGAAAGCTTGTCTCTCCCACCAACACAAGTTGATCCAATGAAAGGTATTACCTCACCCACTTTGTCTCTATAATCTAGCCAGTAGTTAATTATTCACTAACTATTATAGGATCTGAAAACAATTTTCTAGGAAGGAGAGAAAGTCAGGGTAAAGAAGGTTGTTTGATTTCAAAACAGAGCAAGAGATCCTAAAACATCCAAACTGCAAATGTAAGTCTGAACAAAATGTTTGTGTTTTATATTAAAGTTCTATGTATTTTCTACCTGAGAATTGCACTAATGCTTAAAAAGTATTTTCAGGGGGTATCCTTTCATTTCTGCCCTTTGCTCTGACTGTTTTCTGTCTGTGGTACGTTCAGCCTAGCATAAGTTCCCCTCTCCTTGATATTTCAGAATTAAGTAGAAAGAAGGTCATTTTTAAAGATCCTTGATATGTGAATGGCCAGGTTTCTTACAGTACTTATTATTATAAGCTGTCATTAATTTACACATGTTCTGTCTCCATCCTTGATAGTTGCTAACCTGAAATACTTTATAGTGTAACCCTGCTGGGCAGATCGATTTAAGGAGGCATTTAAGAGTTAAGCAGGGACATCTGCCATTTTATTAATATATTTTATTTATTATTATTATTTTCCATCTGAAAAAGCAACTGAGTCATTCAACCTCAAAGACTTTTTCTTTGACCATTATAACAGATTCAGTTTAGGGAACATCTAATACCTTAATTGATATAAGGATAAAGGCTTAAATTTCTATAAGTTACTAGTGATTTTTAGTGCCTAATATGAGACACTGATTTTCAGATGGGGAGTGCTAAACACTTTCTCAAAGTCATGCCCCTTTAAAGTGTCTCAGATTGGGTGCCCAAAAACAGAAGCACTAAAAGTCACTACTCACTTAACTTAGTTTGTAACATGCAGGCATGGCAAAACTCTCATATATCCAGCAACTAGAATTTAAAATACAGGTTGTGTGGCAATCACTATTTTGTTCCAATGAATTGTATTTTGCAAATACATTTTTAAATACTCCCTAGCTCTTTATTAAAACTTCTCCATCATTTTGTTCTTTGTGAAGAAAATTCGTAAAGGGGCCTGCTGGGGAGAAAGGGGGGAAGAATATATATTTAAAACATTCATAGGGAGCAATAAAAAAACACATTGCATTTTCTATAAGAGTGTGAATAGGTATTCAGGCTCTTAACTTGTTTACTAGTCCAAAGGTCTTGGAGATTAAAGCAATAAAACAAACGGGCCTTTTCATTAAACAAGAAAACAGGAGAAATTGCATATCTAATGATGATTAAACTCAGGATAGGGAGTTCTTGTGTGTTACATACGGTACATGGCTAGAAGTTGAGTGACTTTAGCCCTACAAAGTGAACAATAGTTCTTAAACTTGAATCCTTGAAACTATTCAGTAATATATATTGTTGGTATACAGTTGTCCTGTTCGATATGCAGGGCCGGCTCTGGCTTTTTTGCCGGGGGGGGGCAGCCAGAGCGCTGGGGGCAGGGCCGCGAGCCCCGGCGGGGGCTCGGCTCTCCCCCCCCGGCGGCCAGAGCGCCGGGGGCAGGGCGGCGAGAGGGCGGCGAGCCCCGGCTGGGGCTCGGCTCTCCCCCCGGCAGCCAGAGCCCCACGCCGCCCCCCTCCAGGTGCCGCCCCAAGCACCAGCTTGGGTGCTTGGTGCCTGGAGCCGGCCCTGTCGATATGTGTGCAAAGCCAACAGATCTGCAAATGGCTGGATGGGAATAGCTCATGTATGCTTCAGTTTTAAGGGACTGTTGATGAAGGTTTAGTCTACCCTTAAAACTTATGCTGGCATAGCTACGTAGGTCACAGGTGTGAAAAAAGAAACACACTCCTGACCTACATATCTATGCCACAGTAACCCCAGTGGAGATGCAGCTATGCCAACAGAACAGTGTTACTGTCAGCTTAGCTAAGGTCATTCGGTAGGTGGTGGTGTCATACTGACCGAAAAACTGCTTATTTTGGTGTACTCTGCGTCTGCACTACAGGGCTATGCTGACATAGGCAATGCCAACATAGGTTCTGTCCTGCAATCGTAGGCAAAACTAGACCTTATCGTGAGTTTTAGTTAACATTATGGGGAAGATTTTCAAAGACACAAATGGCTATTAGGCATATAATTCTCACTGAAAGTCAATGGGATTTAGGTGACTAACTGCCATTTGTGCCTTTGAAAGTTTCCCCCTTTAGGCATAAATACTTACGAACACATGAACATGAAAATATGAACATGTGAACATGGGATTTGGTTTCTAATTTGATCAATTGTTCCCCAACAGTTTTACTACCGTCAGCACCTCTCAACTTCATGATGTGTCTATACTGGGTTGAAGCGTGGAATAAGATATTTCTGAGTAAAATAAGAATATTTTATCAATTGATAACATAATGATAAATGCATTCTCACACATTCCCAGTAGACGTCAGGCCAGAGGTAGTTATTGCATTTGTATCACATGTTTTCTGGAAAGGAGATTACGGTTTAAATGTTATCACAGGCATGTTATAGATAAAGTAATCACTTCTCTTCAGCTTTTGTATCCGATACTTTGCATCCTTTACCTCTACCTTCTTTGAATGTTTTCTTCATATTTGTGTGAAAACAAAACAAATTCAATCTTGCAGTTAATTTACTTTTCTAGCAAGAAAAAAGGTCTCTGAGACAGCCATTTTGAAGAATAGCAGCACTTTCTCTTTCCAGAGCACCCGCTGCCAAAGAGATTGCCATTTCCTTATACACTTTTATGGCCTAATAAAAGCCAATGGGAGAGTTTCCACTGATTGGATCAGGCCTTTATGGCTGCAGCATTAGACTCTGATCCTGCAAAGATTTATGTACATGTTTGCACTTTCACACTGAGACTTAAGTCAGTGGGTGTACAGTTTTTGAAGAATGGGGGCCAATAGGACTATTCACATGTTTGAAGTTAGTCATGTGTTAAAGAGCTTGCAAAACTGGAACCTAAAACTGCAAAAGTTGTGTGGAACTTCCTAGGATCCTTCTTCCCTAAATAAATGTTTTTAAAGTTTTTGATATGTGAAACTTAACACTTTGCATCAGATGCATTTAGTTTGCACATTGATTAAGGAAGACATTTATTTTACATTTAATCATTGACATTTTATTTCCCTCCTCCTTGATATAGTTTTTTCCACATTATTTATAATATTGCAATTCTGTATATTTATTTATTCTCAAAAACCTTCCATTTTAGTTGGTTTATACAGAACAAGAATACAGCAGCTTTCCTAGTTTCATCTTCATACATATCTGATTTTGTAAATTATCATTGATTCAATATGAGGGAGATTTTCAAAAGTACAAAAGACAGTTGCGTGTCCCACTCCCATTGACGCTGCTGATGCTGTCAGTGGGAACTGGGTCAGGCCCAAAGCAAGAAAGTTTGGGCTGTCCTGCCATCAATATGCTGGTTAAACATCTCCCTTTCATCCAGTCTGGGTGGTGTGGAAATTCTCAGCTTTCCAGTGTTGAACTGAGGCTATGTCTACACTGCACACCTTTTGCAGTGGCATGTTGTGACTTTGCACGCTATATGATTTTATAAAAATATGCTAATGAGTGTGAATATAATGTAACTGGGATATGCTTCATGCAAAAGGTCTCTTGTAAGGTATCATTACAAAGCTTATAATCTACTGAGTGTGGTCATCCTATTTGTATAAATGTATCACTCTTGTATCTGAAACTAGAAATATGAAATATAACTCTGAGGTCCTATTGTAGTTATGCAAAGTGTGGGCCATTAATGGTGGTTTGGAATCTTAATGGCTCCCATTAAACAGGACAATTGACTGTAGATGGCTCTGTTTTACTTGTAAGTCTTCCTGTATACCTGTGGGCTGAAGTCTTACAGTGACATGTGATCATGTCACCTGAACTGGAATCCATCTTTAACCTGGTGCTTTTCCATTGAGAAGGAGAGGTGGGAACCCAGAGGGATAAAGAATTCCCGCCTTATGCAAAAGATATATAAATGAGTGGAACAGAACAAAGGGGGCAGCCATCATGAGAAATACCCTAGCTACCACCTGAGCTGGAACAAGGGCTGTACCAGGGGAAAAGATTGTGCCCAGACTAGGAAGGTGTCCAGTCTGTGAAAGAAACGTATTGAAACATCTCTGAGGGTGAGATTTTCAGTTTTATTACTGTACTAGGCTAGGACTTGCATGTTTGGTAATTCACTTTGTTCTGTCTGTTACTACTTTGAACCACTTAAATCCTACTTTCTGTATTTAATAAAATCACTTTTTACTTATTAATTAACCCAGAGTATGTATTAATAGCTGGGGAGGGAGGGGGCAAACAGCTGTGCATATCTATCAGTGTTATAGAGGGCGAACAATTTATGAGTTTACCCTGCATAAGCTTTATACAGGGTACAATGGATATATTTGGGGTTTGGACCCCATTGGGAGTTGGGCAACTGAGTGTTAAAGACAGGAACACTTCTTAAGCTGCTTTCAATTAAGCCTACAGCTGTTAGGGGATGTGGTTCAGACCTGGGTCTGGGTTTGCAGCAGGCTAGCGGGTCTGGCTCAAACCAGGCAGGGCACTGAAATCCCAAGCTGCAAGGGCAGAAAAGCAGGGTAGACTTGGCACATTGGGTGGCAGCCAGTGGTGAGCTAGTTCACACCGGTTCGCAGGAACTGGTTGTTAAATTTAGAAGCCCTTTTAGAACCTGCGCGAGACAACCGGTTCTAAAAGGGCTTCTAAATTTAACAACCGGTAAATTGAAGTGACTCAGGAGCCCCTTAGGCGCCAACCCCGTGGGTGCTCCAGCTCCCCGCCCCACCCCCGGCCCCAGCTCACCTCTGCTCCGCCTCCTCCCCTGAATGCTCTGCCCCGCTTCTCCCCGCTGAGAAGCAAGCGGCGGCTTCGCGCTCAGGCCCAGGGAGGCAGAGGTGGAGCGGAGGTGAGCTGGGGCAGGGGGAGCCACCCGTGACACAGCAGGTAACCCGGGGGGGGGCGCACAGGGGAACCGCTCCCTGCCCCAGCTCACCTCCGCTCCGCCTCCCTGGGCCTGAGCGGAATGCCGCCGCTTGCTTCTCAGCCCTCCCAGGCTTCCTGTGCGAACAGCTGATTCACGGGAAGTGGGGGGGGCTGTGAACTCGGCCTGACCCGGTGCTCCAGGTTCTGCGCGGCGGCAGCGTGG